CCCTTGCAGGCTCGATAGAGCGCCCTGCCCGGCTGCCTTCTGCCGTGGCCTAGCCGCCTGGAGCGCCCTGGCCCCGCCCCGCCCCGCCCGACAGCAGGGGCGCGAGGCGTCGTGGGCTTAAAATAACTTTAGGAAACTCCTTGACCATCACAGCCCTAGTCTCCAGCCTTTTCGAATAGAAGCGCAAGCCAGGCTCTACCGCAAACACCCTGTTTCTGGCTACATAGGATTATATTCTTAACAGTTCTAAGTTACATGACCTAATACATTATATTCTAAAGGGGCAATAATAATAATAAATCTAAACATTTAACAGCTTAAAATAACTTTAGGAAACTCCTTGACCATCACAGCCCTAGTCTCCAGCCTTTTCGAATAGAAGCGCAAGCCAGGCTCTACCGCAAACACCCTGTTTCTGGCTACATAGGATTATATTCTTAACAGTTCTAAGTTACATGACCTAATACATTATATTCTAAAGGGGCAATAATAATAATAAATCTAAACATTTAACAATCTTAACAAATAATAATAATAAGAAGAATTAATAATAAATCTAAACACTTTAAGTTGTGGGGAACAAATTATGGGGAGTCACTTCCATTTGGGGGAATCATTTTCAATACATTGATATGTTATCCCTACATACTTTTCCTTCCTTGCTTTTGAAAATTTTGGCATCATAGCTACTCTGTTGAGTTTTGTTTTTTGTAAATATCATAATATGTTTTCATTATTGTAGTACCTTTTCAATGGAAATAAAACCAGTTAACAGAAGATATGAAACAAGGAGGCACACAAGAATAGAAGAACCAGCATCCAAATCTCGGGTTGATTGGAGGCGGACTAAAAGAGAAACCATATTGCTTGAAAGTGATGAAGAACCCGCATCTGCTTCAGAACCCATATCTGCTTCAGAAGATGAACAACTCTCAACTACATCAGAAGATGAATTGGCTGAGAAACAAGAAACTGTAGTTAAGAGAGAGAACCTTTCAGATCATGAGGAGAAAGACCATGATGACACAATCACAGAGGACGCGGAGGATGAATGCATAACACCAGGGAAGCGAAAGAGGTCAAGCACCTCTGTAATGTATGACAGTGACAGGAGTGATGACAGTGACATCCTTGTTAGAAAAGTATTTGCTAAACGTTATTGCATAATGGATGAAGATGAGAGTTCCCAAGAACAGGAACACACTAAAACCCCTTCTGCAGAAGACTTGACTAATGGGAAACAGAAGAGGCTAATGAACCTGAAAGAACTTGCAAGACAAAGATCTACTCAGACATCCAGTAACAGTAAATATTGTGAGGTATGTTTTCACTTCTGAAATTCAATTACTGAACACTTTTTTCATACATACACCTCACACAGTTTTACTCCCAAGAGATATAGGGAGCTCTGCAAAAATTCAAGAGTTTCATCCCCTACACTTCAGCAGACATAATATTATGCTCAGGGATCGCCAAGCGGCGGCAAGCCCTGCTCGCCAGCTGCGTGGAATCGCATGATGTGCATGCGCAGACCGCGCTGCGCGGCTGCGCCGGGCTAAAATCTACTCACCATGGGCGAGTAGATTGCCCTAATTGTCGAGCCCTGGTTATGCTTATAAGAAGCACACAGGATCTTTTTCAGGGGAAAAGGCAATACACTGTTTATTGAGAATACAGTAAAGAAGCAGTTAGCATATGCTTTATAAAAACAAACCCACACATACCAGGGCTACCAGACCATTTGTTGTTTTTTACGTTTATCCTGTATAGCCTATCTTGGCTACCCCCTGAAGCTTCCGCACATACAGACACACACAAGTCCTGCAGATGGTGCATAGTTACCAGTCCATGTGAGGCAAGGCTGACTGAGTGAGGAGTCGAGGTTCCCCTGAGACTCGTCTGAGGCTTGACTTGCAGGACTGAACCCATTGGATATTGCAATGTCATGCTGCAACCATCCACCCTTAGGAGATGTTAATCTGTTTTCCAAAGTTATCCTTTGATGAGGATTGTCAGGCTTTCCATCATTGTCTCTGTCTTGGTGGGGTCTCTGCCTGTATCCAAGGTTGTCAGTTTAATTCAGCATCAAGCCACAATGCATGATGCCTTGTTATCTTCAAAGTTTCCACTTCTTCTTGATCACCTGGGCATCTGTGATGGCTGCCCCCCCCCCCCACACACACAACAAATCAATAATTACTAAAAGACACAACTTAGTTTGTGATGCATACCAGGAGTACAACTTAATTTGTAGTGCTAACAGGGAGCAAGGCCTTATAGTAACATTATCTAATCATGAGAAACAGAGAGAGAGAAATAGAAGCAGACAGAACTTATAAGCAAGTCGTTATACATCAAATCATTATATATCATACCTGGTCTTATAATCAATACTGACTACTACTAAAATACACATTTTTGCTACACTACTGCATAGTTGCAACATGTACTTGTTTCTGGTGCTTTTAGCTTGCTTTTTTTTTAAATTGCCATGGACCGAAGAGTTCCTTTTATTTATTCCCAGAGTCGTCCAGAAGACCTGATTATATAGCATTAGAACTCTCATCTGTCCAGCTTCTCCAAATAGTAAAGGATATGTTTCCTTTTTCTCACCATATTTTTTTCTTTTAAATAAAAGGAATTTTGAAAGACAAGAACATGACAGAGACTTTGGAGGGGGCTGACAAAACTCGGTAGTGGAGGAACATGTCACCTGTTGAGGTAGCTTAGACTTCTAAAGCTAAGAAGATTACTACAAATGCAGGAATAGAGATCAGTATAAATTACAGGTGAAATAAACTTCCTCTTGTTTGGAATGTTAATCTTTTGGCATCTCTTTTCTTGTTAATTGAACATGCAGTATTCAAAGGCCAAGAGTGTGTGTTTGTGTGCACACAAAAGTTCATATTTTACTATGTAATGCAAATGTTGAAAATGTTCATAAAAGTATTCAAATGATAGTTTATTTTAAGATTGTTTTTAATTTACTTAGGATTCTCATGATGATGTGGAAATAATAGAAGAATCATCCTATCATTTACCCCTCACACCAACAGAAAGCAGCGATGATGATGATAGTATGAAAGACTTTATAGTTGAGGATGAGGAAGAAAGTGCAGAACTTGTTGAGGATGAAAATCAACCACAGCGGAATGAACTGGCTACATCAGAATTCCAACTACTGAAGTATTACATTCCACGCTGTAAGGTTAAAATAAGTAACAAGTTGATATGAATTCTTTGTTTGTACACCTATGATTTTGCTTTTATTAGAACTTGTCCATATTAGCTCAAAATACAGGTTGAACCTCTCTTGGGACTTTCTAGTCTGGAAATATCCACGGATGTCCCAGGACCAGAGAGCTCTGGTGGAGGGCTGATGGCTGGGAGCCCAGTAGCAGGGCTAGAGCCCAATAGCGAGGCTGACCTGTGGCAGCGAATCTGGGAGCCTATCAGTAGGGCTGCCACTTGGTGCTGACACTGTGAGGGAGCAGTGGGTGACAGCGGGGCTGGAGCCAAGCAGCGAAACTGCTCCGTGAGACTGGAAGGCAGCGGGGCCACCTGGCAGCACAACCGGGAGCCTGGCAGCCTCACTACCACCAAGTGACTCAGCTGCCCGGTGGGACTGGGAGGTGGAGCAGCTGCCTTGTGGAGTTAGCAACCAGACTGCAGGGCTGCCTGGTGACAGGCCAGGGACCCGGAAGTGGGGCCGCACAGTGGCTCAGCAGAAAGCCCAGCAGCCCTGTCATTAACTGTTCTTTGATATGGCCAGGTGCTGTACAAAATAATTTTTTATTATAGCCTGGTCTCCAAGGTGGAATCCTGTGATTGTGTACATATATGTCTTGTATGGTAACGGTCTTCGATATTGTTCAGGATGAAAGGTACTGTATGGAAACAGAAGACTTTTGAAGTTGCATTGAAAATTGCTTTTAAAATTATATTCATGGTGTTTGAGACTAGGTAGCTCTTTATCAGATTTTGCACTAAACTTGTATGGTCTGTATATAAATAGTGAATTTATTCCTTGAGACTTTGTTACGCTCTTAATTCCCTTATCTGGTTGCATTTTTTTACAGTCTCTCGTTGTGACCATTACATCCACTTCCAAAGAGTTGTAAAAGCTTTCCTCATCAACACAATTGATGACACTTTTTTGAGTTCATTGTATGGTAAGTAACACTACATGTCAGAAAATGTAATGCCTATAGGGTAATTCTTATGGTATTCATGCATATGGAAGTCATGTTTGGTATTTAGTGTGGGTCTGAGGATTAGAATTCCTGGGTTCTGTTCCTAATTTTGCTACTGACTTGCTTGTGTAACCTTAGGCAAATCACGTAACCTTTCTCTGCTTCAGTTTACTCCCTCTGTGAAGTGAAGAGAATAAATGGTTTTGATATGTGGAGACTTAGGGTTGGCGCCACAAAGGGATTGAACCCCAGTCCACACTACAGAATTACTTGGGTATAACTAAATCACTCAGGACATAAATAATCCATGCTTCCAGGCAATGTAGTTGTACTGGCCCAAGTGCTAGTGTAGAGAGTGCTGTTGGCAGGAGAGAATCTTCTAACGCAGGGTATGTCTACACTACCACCCTAGTTCGAACTAGGATGGTAATGTAGGCAACCGGAGTTGCAAATGAAGCCCGGGATTTGAATTTCCTGGACTTCATTTGCATATTGCCGGGCGCCGCCATTTTTAAATGTCCGCTAGTGCAGACTCCGTGCCCTGCGGCTACACGCGGCACGGACTAGGTAGTTCGGATTAGGCTTCCTATTCTGAACTACCGTTACTCCTCGTTCCGCTAGCGGATATTTAAAAATGGTGGCGCCCGGCAATATGCAAATGAAGCCCGGGAAATTCAAATCCCGGGCTTCCTTTAACCACCATAGTTCGAACTAGGGTGGTAGTGTAGACATACCCCTAGCTACTGCCTTTCAGATTAACTAAACTGACAGGATAGCTCTCTCCTGTTGGGTTAAAGCTTCATTATGTTTCAATGGTACATCTGCATTGGTGCAGCTGTGTCAATGCAGTGTTTTAAGTGTAAACTTGCCCGTAGGTGCCATCACACTCAGCAAAGAAATGCCTAACTTTTAGGGCCCTGCACATGACTCAAGTGGACCAGTGCCTGTTTTTTCCTATTTATATCACTCTAGCTTTTTAGTTAAAATGTTATGCAGTCAGGCATCAAGCTAAACACCCTGGGCCTGGTAGATAGGTGTCCAGAACCTTAGAGGGAGGCAGCAATGTGCATGCTCAAAGGAGGAAACATGGGCTCCTAAGGAAAACTTAGACACAAATTGAATTAGGTCCTTACAAGATTTGATCAGTTTTATGCATCCTAGTGGAACCAGACTGTGAAAGTATACCAAAGTCACTGTGTGGACAAATCCTAAAACGAGTGCCGTAGGGCTTAATTCTTAATGGTTTGGAAAGTTTTTCTGAAATCTGGGTGAGTTCCTTTCTGTATCAGGAATTTCTCCTTTGCAGTTGATACAAGGCTCAGTTAATAATTATATTAAATATAATTAGTGCCAATCAGTATGGATTTATAGGAAATGGATCCTATCCAACTAACTTGACATCTTTTTTTTTTTTTTTATAAGATTACAAGTTTGGTTAGTCAAAGTAATATGGGTTGTAATAGACTTCTGTGAGGTGTTTAACTTGATGCCTGACTGCATAACATTTTAACTAAAAAGCTAGAGTGATATAAAATTGATGTGGTACACATTAAATTGATTAAAAACCAGTTTACTGATAGGTTTCAAAATGCAATAAACAGAGAACCATCATTAAGTAAGCGTGTTTCTAGTGGAGCCCAATAGGGATTGGTTCTTAGACTTGTGCTATTTAAGATTTTTATCGATGGCCTGGAAGAAAACACAGAATCACTGATCAGGTTTGCAGATGACCAAAATTGGAGAACTAGTAAATAACACATGACAGATCACTGATACAGAGCAATCTGGATTGCCTGGTAAACCTAGGTGCCAGCAAACAATATGCACTTTAATATGGTTAAATGAAATTTATATATTTAGGAATAAAGACTGTAGGTCATGCTTACAGGATGGAGGAGTCTATCCTGGAAAGTAATGACTCTGAAAAAGACTTGGAGGTTGTGGTGGGTAACCAGATGAACATGAGGTCCCTGTGCAGTGTTGTGGCCAAAAGGGCTAATGCAATTCTTAGATTCATAAGCAATAGACTCTTGCGTTGGGAGTAGAGAAGTTATTTTATCTGTTTATTAGGCACTGGTGCATCTGCTGCTGGAATATAGTGTCCAATTGTGGCACTGATAATTTAAGAAGTATATTGATTGAAGAGAAAAGCTACAGAAATCCTGCCTTACAGCAGGGGTGGGCAAAAAGGGCTTCGCGAGCCAGATCCTGTCCACCAAGCAAGGTGATCCAGCCTGCAGAGACCTTTCTGCTTTCCCCACCCCCAGGCCAATCAGGGCTTAAGGACAAGGAAGTACGCAAAATTTGCTCCTACTGTTCACCCGCCCTGCAAGGCGCTGTGCACTCCTGGCAGGACGAGAGGTGACTTCGTGCGCGCTTCCCCAGCCCCCTCTTAGCTGGGGAGAGTGGGCGAAGTCTCCTGCGCGGCAAGGGGTGCAGCACACACTCCTGACGGTCCCCCGCTGGCCCCTGTTCCTCGTGGCATTTCAAAGCAGCAGCGCCGCATGTAGCCTGGGGTCAGCTGGAGAGTCCCCCACTGGCCCCGGGCTCCACGCGGTGCTGCCGCTTTGAAGCACTCCCTTCTCTCCCCTTCCCTTGCAGCCTCTTTCTTATAGAGTCAGCAAGTGGGGGGGTAAGCGATGAGTTGACTAGTGTGTCGACTATCCAATAAGTATCTGCTTAATGGATAGTCGACTGTCATTCACATCTCTAGTGTAGACTTATGTCCTTGAAGATATTATGACTGGATGAAACATGTACAATATGATGTTCAGCAAATGTTTTATAGTAACTCTTTCTTTGAACAGATGGAACAAGGCAAAAGAGATATGCAAAAGAAATGCTAACCTCACTCCATTATTTGGATGATCGCTTTATTCAACCTCGTCTTGAAAACTTAGTCTCTAGAAGTCGCTGGAAAGAACGATATAAGGTAGCTAGATTCTGTCTTGGCCAATGAAGTGGCTCCAGGTGTGGAAATATATCTATCTACCCAAACTGAAAATACACATCCTGACAACTAAAAAGAGCGAGTATTTATAAGAACTATTTATAAATGATAAACTTAAAAAACAACAAATGGTCTGGTAGCACTTTATAGACTAACAAAACATGTAGATGGTATCATAGACTCATAGATACATAGACTTTAAGGTCAGAAGGGACCATTATGATAATCTAGTCTGACCTCTTGCACAGTACAGGCCACAGAATCTCACCCACCCCTCCTAGAATAATCCTCTCACCTATATCTCAGATATGGAAGGCTTCATATACTTTGAAGACCCCAAGATGCAGATATCCTCTAGCTTTGATCTGTACCCCATGCTACAGAGGAAGGTGAAAAACCTCCAGGGTCTCTGCCAATCTCCCCTGGAGGAAAATTCCTTCCCGACCCCAAATATGGCGATCAGCTAAACCCTGAGCATGTGGGCAAGACTCACCAGCCAGACACCCAGAAAGTTCTCTATAGTAACTCCTATCATCCCTCCATTGACCTATTTCCCACTGATAATGAGTGGTCAATTAGTTACCAAGATCATGTTATCTCATCAAACCATCCCCTTCATAAACCCATCTAGCTTGCCCACTTCTTCAGATGACTGGAGTTCTGAGTTTAGGATGTGCATACCAAAAATAAATAGGGGAGAAGTGCGGGGAGGGAAGAAGGGGTGGGAAACAAGGAGCAGAGGGTATGATCTGGAGAAAGGTGTAAATGGTGAAGTGGTAAAATTTGCAAATGATACAAAACTGCTCAAGATAGATAGATAGATAGATAGGACCAAAGCAGAGCTTCAAAAAGATCTCACCAAACTAAGTGATTGGGCAACAAAATGGCAAATGAAACTTCATGTTGATAAATGTAGAGTAATGCACATTTGGAGGAAAAAAATGATCCCAACCATACATACAATATGATGGGTGCTAATTTAGCTATAACTACTCGAAGAGAGATGGTGGAGTTATTATGGATAGTTCTCTGAAAACATCTGTACATGCGACTGGCTAAGGATGTGATAGACAACAAGAAAGGTTTCTATAGGCATGTTAACAAGAAGAAGGTGATCAGAGAGGGCGTGCGGCCCCTACTGGATGAAGGAGGTAACCTAGTGACAGATGACATGGGGAAAGCTGAAGTACTCAATGCTTTCTTTGCCTCTGTATTCACGGATAAGGTGGGCTCCCGGACTAATGCGCTAAGTGACGCAAGATGGGATGAAGATGGACAGCCCTTGGTGGGTAAAGAACAGGTTAGGAACTATTTAGAAAAGCTAAACGTACACAAATCCATGGGTCTGGACTTAATGCATTGGTTCCTGGAAAAATCATGGAAGGGATCCTTAAGGAATCCATTTTGAGGCACTTGGAAGAGAGGAAAGTGATTAGGAATAGTCAGCATGGATTCATAAAGGGAAAGTCGTGCCTGACCAATCTGATTAGCTTCTATGATGAGGTAACTGCCTCTGTGTACGTGGGAAAGTCAGTGGATGTGATACCTCGACTTTAGCAAGGCTTTTGACATGGTCTCCCACAGTATTCTTGCCAGCAAGTTAAGGGAATGTGGATTGGATAAATGAACAGTAAGATGGATAGAAGCACAGGCCCAGCAGGTAGTGATCAACGGCTCGATGTCAGGATGGCGGTCGGTTTCTAGCGGAGTGCCCCAAGGTTTGGTTCTAGGACCAGTTTTATTCAGTATCTTTATTAATGACCTGGATGAGGGGATGGATTACACCCTCATCAAGTTTGTGGATGACACTAAGCTAGGGGGAGAGGTAGATACACTTGAGGGCAGAGATAGGGTCCAGAGTGACAAATTGGAGGATTGGGCCACAAGAAATCTGATGAGGTTCAACAAGGACAAGTGCAAAGTCCTGCACTTGGGACAGAAGAATCCCAAGCATTGTAACAGGCTGGGGACCAACCAGCTAAGTAGTAGTTCTGCAGAAAAGGACATGGGGGTTACAGTGGATGAGAAGCTGGATATGAGTCAACAGTGTGCCCTTGTAGCCCAGAAGGCTAATGGCATATTAGGTTGTATTAAGAGGAGCATTGCCAGCAGATCCAGAGATGTCATTATTCCCCTTTATTCGACTCCGGTGAGGCCACATATGGAGTATTGTGTCCAGTTCTGGGCCCCCCACTGCAAAAAGGATGTGGACGCATTGGAGAGGGTCCAGCGGAGGGCAACCAAAATGATTAGGGGGTTGGAGCATATGACCTATGAGGAGAGGCTGAGGGAGTTGGGTCTGTTTAGTCTGCAGAAGTGAAGAGAGAGGGGGGATTTGATAGCAGCCTTCAACTTCCTGAAGGGAGGTTCCAAAGAGGATAGTGAAGGGCTGTTCTCAGTAATGACAGATGGCAGAACAAGGAGCAATGGTCTCAAGTTGAGGTGGGAGAGGTCCAGGTTGAATATTAGGAAAAACTATTTCACTAGGAGGGTAGTGAAGCACTGGAATGTGTTATCTAGGGAAGTAGTGGAGTCTCCATCCCTAGAGGTGTTTAAGTCTCAGCTTGACAAAGCCCTGGCCGGGTTGATTTAGTTGGGCTTGGCCCTGACTAGAGTAGGGGGCTGGACTTGATGACCTTCTGAAGTCTCTTCCAATTCTATGGTTCTATGATTCTGTGATCCACTCAATGTGCAGTGGCAATCAAAAAAGCAAACAATTTTATGAATCATTAAAAAGGGATAGAGAATAAGGCAGAGATGAACGTATTAATAGGATGAAGTTTTATAAGGACAAATGCAAAGTACTCCACTTAGGAAGGCACAATCAGTCTCACACATACAGAATTAGAAGCAACTGTCTAGGAAGGAGTACTGCAGAAAAGGATCTAGGGGGCGTAGTCAACCACAAGCTAAATATGAGTCAACAGTGTAACGCTGTTGCAAAAAAAGCAAACATGATTCTGGGATGCATTAAGAGGTTTGTTGTGAGCAAGAGATGAGAAGTCATTCTTCTGCTCTACTCTGCACTGATTGGGCCTCAATTGGAGTATTGTGTCTAGTTCTGGGCACCACATTTCAAGAAAGATGTGGAGAAATTGGAGAAGGTCCAGAGAAGAGCCACAAGAATGATCAAAGGTCTAGAGAATATGACCTATGAAGGAAGACTGAAAGAATTGGGCTTGTTTAGTTTGGAAAGAAGAAGACTGAGAGGGGACATGCTAGCAGTTTTCAAGTATCTAAAAGGGTGTCACAAGGAAGAAGGAGAAAAATAGTTCTCCTTATCTTCTGAGGATAGGACAAGAAGCAATGGGCTTAAATTGCAGCAAGGGACATTAGGAAAAACTTCCTGACAGTCAAGGTGGTTAACACTGGAATAAGTTGTCTAGGGAGTATGTGGAATCTCCACCTCTGGAGATATTTAAGAGCGGGTTAGATAGACATCTATCAGGGATGGTCTAGATGGTACTGGGTCCTGCCATGAGGGCAGGGGACTGACTCAATGACCTCTCGGGGTCCCTTCCAGAACTAGTATTCTATTGCATCTGTATAAAACCATGGTATGCCCACTTCTTGAATACTGTGTACAGTATGTGGTTGCCTCATCTCAAAAAGGATATATTGGCATTGTAAAAGGATCAGAAAAGGGCAACAAAAATTATTAGGGGTTTGGAATGGGTCCCATATGAAGAGAGATTAGAGACTGAGAATTTTCAGTTTACAAAAGAGGAGACTAAGGTACGATATGATAGCAGTCTATAAAATCATGACTGGTGTGGAAAAAATGAATAAGGAAAAATTGTTTACTCGTTCCCATAATGTAAGAAGTAGGGGGTCACCAAATGAAATTAATAGGTAGCAGGTTTAAAACAAACAAGAAGTTTTTCTTCATGCAGTGCACAGTCAACTTGTGAAACTCCTTGCCAGAGAATATTGTGAAGACCAGGAATTTAACAGGGTTCAAAAAAGAGCTAGATACATTTATGAAGGTTAGATGCATGAATAGTTATTAGCCAGGATGGGTAGGAATGGTGTTCCAAGCCTCTGTTTGTCAGGGGCTGGAAATGGATGACAGGAGATGGCTCACATGATGATTCCCTGTTCTGTTAACTCCCTCTGAGGCATCTGGCATTGGCCACTGTTGGAAGACAGCATACTGGACTAGATGGACCTTTGGTCTGACCCAGTATGGCTGTTCTTATGAGTAGTCCTATCACACCTGATGGTACGTCTACACTGCAAGACAAAGTCAAATTAAGATATGCAACTTCAGCTACGTTAATTGCATAGCTGAAGTCGAAATACTTTAACTCAGCTTTTGGTGCTGTCTACGCTGCAGGAAGTTGAAGGAAGAACACTCTCCCTTTGACTTCCTTTACTCCTTGTGAAAGCAGGACTTCCAGCATTGACCAGAGTGCCACCTCAGTTTGAATTAGCTGTCTTAACTAGACCCACTAATTGGAACCCTGGAAGATCAACACTGGCAGCTTCAAATTTCCTCTTTAATGTAGATGTACCCTTAGAAACTGACAAAAATATATAGTATCATGAGCGTGGGTGGAAAAGACCAATTTCATCGGATGACTTGCAGTGGAAATAACTGAAGGAAGTACCTTCAATTGTAGGATCCATATTAATGAAGCTAATTAAGTGGGTTGGATGTGTCCCATTATAGGTTTTGATGTGATAATGTGGATGTCAAAGGCAGGGAAAATTAACTTTCTAGTGCATTAACCAGCTAATGTCTTTATTCAAGCGCAGGATAACCATGTTAGATTTATAGATGAATTCCAGTTCTGCAGTCTCTCTCTCTCTGTAATTGGGTGCTGAAATTCCTTTGTAGAAGAATGTCTACTTTTTAATCCATGATTGAGTGACCAGGAAGGTTAAAATGTTCACCTACAGGTTTGTGTTTGTTACCATTTCTGATGTCTGATTTGTGTCCATTTATCTTTTGTCACAGAGATGTCTGGTTTGGCCAATATTCATAGCAGAGGGGCATTGCTGGCACTTGATGGCATATATCAAATTAGAGAAGGGGAGGGCAATAACTTTTGAAGATGGAGGCCACTTAAAAAATTTTCAAAGTGGTCGCTGGCTTCGGGAGGGAGGGATGTGCCTTTAAATAACAGGAGTTGAAATGGCTCAGCTCTCCTCTGAGGCTCCCGGCAATGCGTTAGCAGAGGGCAGGAGCTGCAAATCCTTTCAATTGCTTCTATTTAAAGGGCTCACACCTTCCCTGCGGCTGTATTGGCCGCAGCCTCTGTCCATGGCCAACTCTGCTCCAGCAGCAGCCTTTGTCCATGGGGGGTCCCAGCCCTGCTGCAACCCCCTGCGGACAGGGGCTGCTGGACCAGGTGTGAGCCAGGACTGAGTCCCGGCTCGCTCCAAGTCCAGGAGCTACCCCTGATGCAGCTCTGCACTTTAAATATAATAAGAGCCAGGCTGCCTGCACTCCCGACTCTTGCTACCTTTAAACTACAGAGCCTCAACAGGAATAGCTCTTTCTGAGCACCTTCTCTTATCAACTAATCATGTAGTGGATACAAATTGTATGAACTACACGATTACCCACCTCTTAATGTCCTTAGGTCCTGTGATGGTGTCACTTGTATAGATATGTGGACAAAGTTGGTAACAAGGTTTGTTACATGAGTAGGTAGAGTGAATGTATGTATCTGAGATGTGTTTGCTGGAAAGGATTTGCTTTAAGTTGTGGGGTTATCTGTAGGGGAGGATTGACTTGTCCGCACAAAGCCTATGAGAGTGAGGGATTGTTTTCCTGGGTAGGTTGGAGATTGTCAACAATGCGCTGGACGGATTTAAGATGCGGGTTGTGAGTGATAACCAATGGTGTCCTGTGCAGCCTGTCCTGAAGTAGTTGACTTCTGGGTACTTGTCTGGCTCTGTTAATCAGTTTCCTCACTTCCCGAGGTGATTCCAACTCCTCTGATGAAGTGGGTCTTACCCACAAAAGCTCATCATACTATATATTTTTGTTAGTCTCTAAGGTGCCTCAGGGCTACTCATTTTTAAAGTTACAGATGAATATGGCTACCCTTCTGAGACATCTTCATAATTAGTTGTCTTTCCATATTTTGGGACGTGATCTTGCCCCTTGGTATGCTGGCATTTCTGCATACTTTAATCACGTATGATTCTTGCTTGTATGTTCAGTAACTAGTTGCACAAACTAGTTGATAAACATATCTGAATATTCAGGAGTAGTGTGTAAATATGTTGTGGCTATTTTATGTATTTCTAGCTAGATTCTGCCCTGAAAGATGTATAAACCCATGTTCCCCTGATTTCAGTGAATGCCCCTTACGTGCTCGTCAAAAAGCATCTTTTGGCAGTTAGTTACAGTCATAATGAATTTTTGGATATTTCTTTTAAAGACACAGACCAATGCAAAAATTGTATTTCTTCCAAGGCATTCGTAATGTAAATGCTACAACTGAAAATATTAAATTAGTATGAAAAAATTCAGTCTTATGCATGTGAATGATGAGAATAATTACAACAGGCTCAGATGAAGCAGAGGTGGAGAACCCCTGGCTGTGGACTACATGCGGTTCATAAGATTAGCTCGCGGCTAGCCACCAGATGGTTTGTTTACCTGAGTGTCTGCAGAAATGGAGCTCCACAGCTCCCTGTGGCTGCAGTTTGCCATTTCAGGCCAATAGGGACTGTGGGAAGCGGTAATCCAGCTCACATCACTTCTCACAGCTCTCATTGGCTGTAAACAGCAAACCACAGTCACTGGGAGCTGCAGGTGGCCATGCTTGCGGATACTCAGGCAGACAAAGGGCCTCACAGGCCACTAGTGGCTAACCCTAATGAACCACATGTGTCCCACAGACCTGAGTTTCCCCACCCCTCAGATTAACTGAAATGAATGGGGTTGGTTAGTGCCCGAAAGACATTAGAGTTGAGAGAGCTCAGCACCTCATGTGATCAAGAGTTTTTGCCTTCGTTTAGTGATGTCCAGTTGAAGACTTTTATGTAATATATCTTTGTAGGAGCGAGTGAATTGTTACCCTGAAGTCCACATAGTAATGAAGACTCCATTAAGTAAATGCTGTCAAGCCTGTGAACTGCACCGATATTGTAAGTTTGACATATTGCTGTCAGGAAAGCTGTACAACAATAGAACTTTGGAAACAGATGACTTCATGTCGCATGACAAACAGGTAATTTTTGCTCTGTATGTTTTAGATCGCAAAACACCGAGAGATGATCCCATCATTGTATCTAATCCCCAGGAGTGCTGTGGGGGGATTTCGGGGTCTGGGGAGTTAGTTGCTCTGAATGCACATATCTGCATCATTATTCACCATTAGTCTTTACCTTACTGAAGCCTAAAATCTTGAAAGAAATGTCTGGATAGCAAGTAATTGACCAACACCTGGTGAATATATGTATATTTCCACCATAAAGAAAAAATTTAGAAATTTCACCCATGATCTCAGGTTAATCTATACTTTCTATGAAGTCTAATCCAAAAATACTGTTTTACAGAATATCAGTATTTCTTTTATAAGCAGACCTAGTGATTTCTCAGATTATCTGAACCTTATTTTTATAGGGAACTTCTTGACTTTTATTAATCTATGGCTTTTATAGCTTTTTGAAAAAAAATCAATAATATTTTAGTGTCCTTTGTAAATTGCAAACTTTATTTTCTTCTAAAATTTGTTGTCACATATCCTAAAGTTCTAGACATTTGCATAGATATTTAAAAATAAAGACATTAATGCCATTCAGTCAATCTATCAAGATTTACTCCAACCCACAAAACATTAATGAAATAATCAATTAAATCATAACTTGCAACTAATTGAGAAAATAGATTAGCCTTATTATGTTTCTGATAATTAACACATTTTGGATATTCTATTCCAGGATGATGGGAGCAAGAGCCTTAATCTAGTTTTCCTCTTTCGCTTCATCTTTCAGATCAGCAATAAAACTTAATGGCCTATGAGAACAAATTCAATGTAAAGTGTGTT